CACTAGAAAGCCCGAAGTTTGAGTTCCGAAATGGTTTTATCATCTATTTCAATTTTTTTGAAACTTTAATGAATTTTTGATTAACAAACTCGACAATTTCAAAGCGAGCAATGGCAAAACTGTACCGAATATATATATATATATGATGTACCAGCTTTTGTCCGAAATAAATAGATTGCTGAAGAATTATAAATGTAGTCGTAGCTTAAATTATCAGACGATAAGTTTAGAAAACAGGATCCATTTATTATTATTCAGGAAAAATAGCAGTTACAAAATCAGATATCCGGAGTAAATAAAAAGAATTACTAATAACTTTTTGTATGAAGTTTACTGCATCGTGACATTTAAGAAAAAGCCCCCGATATTTCTTTGCGAGTCCTTTTATAGCCTCTGGAAAGGCGGAGCTTCCAAGAAATGACGTCAGCCTCGTCAGCCAATCCAGTTCGCTTTAAATATTTCCAGAACATTCTATAAATGTACGTGTAGAAAAGGCGGGAAAAACAACTTGACTACGGGGCTGTGAATTTAATTCCACGTACTTTCAAATAAGAGAACGTCGCCATTAAAAATGAAGAGAACGTACAGTTAGAATTTTAAGTGTATTCTTGACTATGGAATTTTATTATTACATATATATATCTCTGAACTGCGGGACTGTGTGTCAGAAGTTCTAAAGATTGTTTTGCTTTGTTTAAATATTTTGTGACATTGCCGTTGAATCGAATTTTATGAATTTTAATTTCTCCAAACATAATACTGGACGATAGTATTTTGTGGCAGCAATTTAAGAAGAGATTCTTCGTTTATAGCGAAATCTACGCAAAATGTCAAAACGAAATTAGTAGCCCTTCTGGGGAAATTGCCCCTTTGGGCTAATAAAATGGAAAAAAAAAAAGCAAGCTTTATAGCGCGAAAGTAGGTCTTTGTTGTGTCTAACAAAACACACAGTTTCTATCTTCCATTTTTTATGTGCTACAAGCAGTTGTAAATTTCTGTGCTTCTGGATTCGTACCTGTCGTCAATCAGAATTGTATAACAAAATGTGGCGTCTAAAACACGATGCTTTTAGAATGATTATGGTTTAGCTTAAGATATAGTAAGGAATCACGTGCTCTGTGTATTTCCATGATGCCATTTTTAGGTGTGAAAAGATAGAAGGTGTAGTTTCATGCTTTTGTGCTCGCGATAATTTTTAGAAGTAGTGAATGGAAAGTTGAAAGCGACGAAAATTTCATTTACAATTTAAAGTTGGTTCTGATGGAAAAGAGCCTAGTTGGCGTGCAATATTATTATAAAGCAATTCCATACATTCTGCTCTGAAAAAAAAAACCAACGGCACATGTATAATCAGACCGAACTCCGAAGACAGTTGAGGCACTTCCGTAAGCTGGTCTAGTCGTTTTGCATAAAAGTATGACAATGTACTGAATAATTCAGATCTTAGTCTTAAAAAGGCCCTGTATTTCGAACAATTTAAAATTTTATTTCAAAAGCATTATGGTAATGAGAAAGTCGAATGAATGCTATTCATAGAACAAGAAAATGTTTCACGAAATAAAAGAAAGTGGGAAAAAACAAGAAATTGTCTCTTCAATTTGGAAGATGGCATCACTCATCTTTTAAAAGAAAAAACCTTTTTTCAGGTATATGATCACACAACTAAAAAAATCTGATGTGTACACCACATGACTTCCTTGTACGGAATATTAAATTATACGCATTTTTCTTGCATTTCATTTTAACTTATTAGATTGAATTAAACCTACTTCGCCGACAGCGCATAAAGCACAATAGAATAAATGCATTCTTTAAAATTCACTTTGTTTACCATAGCGACACTCTCGCGCTAGGTTTACTTAACAGTATTATATTTCGTTCATATTATAACTCAAAATGCACAAAATTTATATCATTTAAAGAATTATCTAATCGTTGCCACACGTTCTATTCAAATACTATAATAAAGCTAGAACTATGTATAAAAGAAGTTAAGCAAACAAAAGAAAAAAGAAGCAGTTTTTCACAGATGATTGAGTATTTCTCATTCAATTAATTCAGTTTTCACTTCGCGACAAGGCAAAAGTACATAAAAACTCAAAATATCTGCATTAAAAATTACGAAGTAAATCTTAAACGCTTATTTCCTCGAAAAAAATTCCAGAAAGGATTAAGCATGATTTAAATAATAAATGAAGGCGTTATGTTTGTTGTTGAGAAGCTAAGTTTCTCTAGATTGGCCACAAATCCGCTACTCAGCTGTTTCAAACGTAAACAAGAGCAATGGCCGCCATCAAATTAAGCTTAGCGGTACTTAAACAATTTTAAAATTGTTGATAATTCTAAAAATATTGCATACAGATTTACTAAAGGCATAAAACCCTTAAACGGAAGATAAAAACAACATAATTCAATCATTTTTAAAGCAAAAATTGTACAATTTACAAACATACAAGAGTAAAGAAACTGAGTCCATTGAGCCGAGTAACAGAGTGGATATATTTATAAATATAATTATATACGTTTGGCGCGGCCGATTGAAACCAAAATACGAGGTGCACATCTACATGTTATAGTAGTCCTTATATACAAAATTTCAACGTTCTGAGGCTACTCGTTTTTGAGTTAGTCGAGATACGTACGTACGTACGTTCGTACAGACGCCACGAAAAATTCTCTTCAGAATTCATTTTAAAGCAGTTTTTTATTTATTTATTTATTTTTTTTTTTGGAGGAAAAGAATTTTTTATTCTGTTTTTACGTACAGATACCACGCAAAAACATCGTTAAATTGCATTCGAAAGAGGTCAAAGTGGATATTTTCCTTGAAATATGCTGCCTGAAGCTTTTCGTAATTACATACTTCCTTTTTACTTCGTACAAGGAAGTAAAAAATACGTTCGCCTTTCATTGTGGACGTAGAATATTGCAGTGCTATATGATAAATTGACTATAGGGTAAATATTTAAATGATGTGATTTTTTTTCAAGATCAAATTAGCAGTTACTTTATATGTTACAAATACGATTGGAAATAACATATATCGTTCAGGATATTTAGAATAAAAAAAAATCTGATGTGGACACCACGTGACTTCCTTCTACGGAATATTAAATAATATGCTATTTTTTTCTGCATTTCATTTAAACTTATTTCCTGAGTATTCACTAGCGATATATTTCTCATTTAATTAATTCAGTTCTCACTTCACGGCAAGACAAAAATACATAAAATCTCAAAACATCTTGTAGAATTATAAGATATTTCTCCCACTTCCCGAGCGTGCCTTCGTGGTGTAACGGTAGCTCGCTGGGCCGGTTTTGCAGAGGTCCGTGGTTCGATTCCCGGCGGAGGCGGGAATTTTTTCATCTGCATATTTTTCATCTTTTCTGCTTCCAATTAACTTAATGACTCTACAACTGGCGCCCGAACTAAAAGGGTTGTGGATGATGATTCTCCGCACCCATGATTTGGCGACTAGGTCCCCTAAAAGACTAGTCGCCCTTTAAAAAGGGGAGCATATAAGGTATTTGTCCCACTTCCCTAGCGTGCCTTCGTGGTGTAATGGTAGCACGCTAGGCCGGTATTCCAGAGGTGCGTGGTTTGATTCCCGGCGAAGGCGGTTGCATATTTTTGCATCTTCTTTGCTTCCAATTAACCTAATGACTCTACAGAATTATTAACAATTTAAAGTTGTTTAAGTGCGGCTAAGCCTAATTTTTTTTCATAGCAGCCATATTTGGTCACATTTGGAACTTAGTAGAAAAATGAATGAAGTCAGCTTCTGCATCTTCAGTGTCTTTCTGCAGAGTGGGACCAAAAGTAAATTTTCACTTTTATGCACCGAAACATTTTACACATTCGTTGTTAAGACTTGATTCTTTTCATCCTGAAAAATAGTTACCAAAAGCATTTAGTAATAACAACTTTTATCCACCGAACAATTCAAAAAAAAATGACAATTAAAATTAGTTTCTACGCAAAAGCTAGCAATTCGAATAGCAGGCAAGAAGGCAAATTTTTCGGTGCATAAAAGTTAAAATTTACTTTTGGTTCCACTCTGCAGAAAGACACTGAAGGTGCAGAAGCTGACTTCATTCACTTTTCTGCCAAGTTTCAAATGTGACCAAATATGGCTTCTATGATAAAAAAAAATTAGGCTTAGCCGCACTTAGACAATTTTAAATTGTTGATAATTCTACAAATATTGCATGCAGATTAACTAAAGGTATAAAAACCTTCACTGGAAGATAAGAACAACATGATTCAATCATTTTTAAAGCCAAAAATGCACAATTTACAAACATATAAGAATAAAGAAACTGAGATAACTGAGCTGATAATTTAAGTGGATATATATATACATACATATGTATACTTTTGGTGCGGCCGTTTGTAACCAAAATAGGAAGTTCACATATACATGTTCTAGCAGTCCTATATATACAATTTCAATGTTCTGAGGCTACTCGCTTTTTAGTTATGCGAGGTACATATATTTTTTTTAGTTATGCGAGGTACTCGTACGTACGTACGTACGTACGCACAGACGCTACGAAAAAAATCTCTTCAGAATTCATTTTAAATCAGTTTATAATTTTTTTGGGGAAAAAAGTGTCCTTTATTCTGTCCTTACGTACAGATGTCACTCAAAAACGGCGTTAAATCGTATTCAGCAGCGGTCAAAATGGATATTTTCGTTGAAATGTGATACCCGAAATTTTTCGCGATTCAAATATTTCGTTTACTTCGCACAAGGAAGCAAAAAAAAAAAGTCTATTGAACTAAAATTAAAGCTCGTTTTGTTTGGAAATTTTTATTTAGTTGTGTATCAAAATATACTGCAGGAAGGTTTCTTAATGAAATATATTATAAATATATGTTATGCAATGCAAGAAATATATACTAACGTGTTTGCTTTTTAAGACGGTAGATTTTTTTACTAAAAAAAATAGAAAATTGTTTTACATTTGTATTTATTTGCTATGAAAAATTACTAAATGCATTTTGTAACTATTTTTCAGGATGAAAAGAATCAAGTCTTAACAACGAATGTATGGTTAGATCAGGTTAGTGCTCATTATTTAAATTACTTTTTTCTCGGAATTTAGTAAAACTATATCTATGTTTACCTTGTAATCTTCTAATTTCTTTTCAGTTTTGTTTATCACACAAAAGTATTTTTGAATAGTATTATTATGAACTGTGTGTGTATGTAAATAATTTGAGTGAAACTTTGAGTAAAATTATAGTATCTTTCGTATAATGTAATATGAAACGTCTGGAGAGGCGCAACTCTTTCGGAAAAATAAAATTACAGGGACAATTTTACTTAATATTGAGATAAATGTCTATCTCGCTAAACTGACCCGATATCACCAAGGAGACGACGGTTGGGTTAATTTTTTCGCCAAATTTTGTGTTAATTTGGTGACATTTGGCTCCGGCCTTGTATAACTATAATTGGTACCGTAACTGAATCACTGCAATTGATCCCTATATATAACTGTAATCATAATTTCGAGAAAGGGAAGGTACTAGAGATTTCTCGCCGGCCTGAAAAAAAAACTCTATAAGCCCGCTGAGAGCGACACACGGTGATTATTTTCACACAAAGAATGATAAGTGGAAAACTAGGATAGTATATCCACAAACTATTTTGCGTATAATAAATTTCTGACTTTGTTAAGAGAGTGAATTGATTGCTAATGCATTGAATTATCATGAATATTAATGGCATAGAAATGAAAAGAACAAATATGCCTTTTAAAAATATATTGCACAACGAAATACCTTTTTGAACGAATGGTCGTAAACACATGCTTCTAATTAAAGCAACGAATCAAATAAGATGAGCTTTCAGCTTAACTTCAATAGCAGCAGAATGCTATGTTTTATTAAAAAATTAAATTTTCGAAAATTTCGAATTAAAAAATTAATAGAACATTTTAATTAAAATTTAATAAAGGTTATTAAATTAATCAAAATAATATTAACTTAATTAAATGAAATTAAAAAATTTTTAGAAGCCTTGTATAAAAACTTTCAGTGAGAGAATTATTTTTCTTTGTTGAAACAAACGGGACATATCATCATGTGATCACAAATATTCAAACTAACATTAATTAAAATTGCAAGTGTCAAACTCGTTCTCCAAGAGACATTTACGCATATATACTCATGTTCATAAATTAAGGATAATTCGGAGTCACGAGGAAATCGAACTCTAAAATAAATATATTACCTGTAAAATCACTGCACACATCTTCAAGAATCATATGCAAATTTCAGGAAGTAACCAGATGACACCGATTGTACGTCACAATGACGAGAGTGTAAGAGAGTGATATATAAGAAATACAGGCAAATTTGTTCGCAGGCGCTTTATAAGCATTTCAGTGCAATAACCGAATAGTTATGACACAAAGGACGCATTTAGATGATTTTTCACGTGGTAGAATTATCGGCCGTCTGGAATGTGGGCGTACCCAACTGGAAGTATCAGACGAACTTGGAATTGCGCAGAGTGTCATCTCCAGGCTTTGGAAACGATTCCAAGATGATGGTAATGTGAGTAGACGTTACAGCACAGGTCGCCCCAGAGTTACAACGTCGAATGAGGAACGGTATCTGGCAGTTACTGCCAAAAGAAACAGGCGGAGCACAGCCTCAGACCTGTCTCGTCAGCTCTCTTCAGCCTCTGGTACGACAGTTTCAAGGCAGATCGTGTACAGACGCTTACGGCAGATTGGTCTATATACTCGTAGACCTGTCAGATGCGTTCCACTTACTGCAACTCACTGTCGCCTGCAATTAGCCTGGAGCATGCATTGTGGACACCGCAACAGTGGGCTTGTGTGATGTTTTCCGACGAGTCCAGGTTTAGCTTGCAGTCTGATTCTCGCCGGACGTTCATATGGAGAGCTCCAGGTACCTGTTACCACCAAGAAAACATCATTGAACGGCACCGTTACGGTGGTGCAGGAGTGCTCGTTTGGGGGGAAATTATTTTGGGTTCCAGAACTGCCCTGTATGTTCAAATTGGAACCATGACAAGCCAAATCTATCGGGACGTCATTCTGGAACAACATATACGTTTGTTTCGGGGCGCCATGGGCGCACAATTTGTGTTTATGGATGACAACGCCCGTCCTCACCGCGCAAACATCGTAAGCGAATGCCTTCAATCGGAGGATATCACCCGTATGGACTGGCCAGCATTCTCACCGGACTTGAATCCAGTAGAGCACATGTGGAACATGCTTGGCCGACGAGTTGCAGCCCGTCAACCTCCTCCTACATATCTACCGGAACTTCGGAGAGCATTGCTTTTTGAGTGGTGTAATATTCCCCGAGATTAGATCGATAATTTGATACTCAGCATGCCTAGGCGTTGTATGGACTGTATTGCATCGTCTGGGAGACATACAATGTTTTAACAATCATACCAACCATGTAATATTGTTTTTTTGTAAATAGGTTTTTTTTTTTTTTTTTTTTTTTTTTTTTTTTTTTGTAATTTGCTCCAGGGAGAAAAAATCGCTAATTTTTGTAATAATATCAAACATATAGCATCTTTTTTTGCTCTGTACCTTTTGTTTAATAAATAAGCTTTACAAATAAGTCAAATTTGTTTTGCTTCTAACTCTTCCTTTGCCCGATTTTGCATTATCCTTAATTTATGGACATGAGTGTAATTCGAAAATATTACGCATATAAAAAAAAGACAGTTACGCATATAATTCGAAGTCTTTAAATGCCGATTTCTAAAAGATATATTTTATTATCGCTGAAATTTGAGAATTTAAGGTTGAGTGGAAATACTTCATTTCAGAAACGTAAAATTTCAACATTTTTTTCTAATATATGAAATTTTATATTATACCTGAAACGTATGTTTTTTTATTCGTCTGTTCCATTTTCCATTCCATTTTCCGCTGTTATACTGGACTTAGCATGCGTGGATTGCAGGCTTTTTGCCAGTTGTTGTCCAATATGGGTTCCTGGAAGTACAAAAACAGAACAAAAGGTGTCACAGAGACAAGATGGGAAAATGTGGCACTTTGCCACTAAAGAGTGTTACGTCATGGGGTGGTGTAAAGTACAAATCAGATACAAATATGCATTAAAAGTTGATGTTTAATCATAATAACTTCTTAGAAAATAAAAGGTAAAAAGGCTTACCTTTTAGTCAATCTTCTTTCTTCTCCAAAGGCATATCCGGAAGTATTTTTCCTAAGTACATCTATACACTACTCACAGAACGAGAGAGGCTTCTAAGATAATAAAATATTTAATTTACATTCACATCACTAAACTGAAATATATATATAACACAAAGATAAGGATTACATGTTTCACTCAAACGTCCATCACGAGTTCTCCAAGTTCAACTAAAAAGTTTTGATTTAGTTTTTGCTGCGCGCATGCGCAAATCACGTGGTTGTCGGAGAGAGTTTCAGCATTGAAATGATGAAAGTCAAAAATAAAACATAGTTATTCAGATAGAAGTTCCATAATTGAATCTTGGTTAAGGGGACTCGTACACCTTAAACCCCTCATGATCTTCGAATATGTGACTGTTGCAAGAATTGGGATATTTTATTTATCTTAAAAGCAAAGACTTCCAACTTTTTACAGCTGATTACATAATATAACTGCTTTGGAAACTAGTAACCAGAAAGTTTGTGTTGCCACAAATATTTTTGTAATTGAATCCTCTTTGTGACAAAATATTTCACCATGTTTCCACCTTGCGCGCATGATATTTTAAAAATGGCTAATGGTACATACTGGAAATTGGATGGAATTCTTTATATGGGCACTATTTTCTAACTCAACTAACAATCTGATGAATATTTTAATATTGAAACATTTTATGGACGAAAACATTACAAATTTTGTTAATAAAATAGATTTTATAAATTCAACTCAAAATAAAATTAAAATGAAGCATGAAATTTTTAAAATTTTAGGTTCACAGTAGTTTCCAAATGTAATAAAAGCTACATATTAAATATGGAATTAAATTATGCAACAGAATGTTTTAAACTGTGCGCGCAAGTTGGAAACACGACGAAAAATGTTGTCACAAAGCGGATTAAATTATAAAAATATTTGTGGCAACAAACTTTCTGATCATTATTTCAGAAAGCAGCTATATTATGTAGTCAGCTGTAAAAAGTTGGAAGTAATTGCTTTTAAAATAAATAAGTTATCCCAATTCTTGCACCAGTCACCGATTCGAACATCTTATGGGTTTTAAAGTGTATGAGTCTCCTTAAATAAGAGTATTTACAAAGTATACAATATTAGCGTAGAAACCTAAGTCAAACGTGAAGCCATGTCATGTGATTTCACGATATTCGTGAACCCTTAGTATTACATATATATATATAACATGTATTATTGAGGAATATATACACGTTGACTAGAGTAAAAATAAAAGTAATATAGAAAATAATCAGTAAAATATGTACAGGTATGTGCAGTCATTACAGTAGCACTGATTATTCCAAAGCAGAGATAGAAATTTTCTAATTCCTAGGTTACCCCGTGCTGTGGCTTCGACGAATGCTGCTTGGTTTTGGGAGATTGAGTGAGATGATTATTGTCTGCATTTAGTGAAAATGCAGGAAAAGGACATGGAAATTGGTCCTCTGCAAAGATTTCATAGTTGAGAGTTTGAAAAATGTTTAGCTGACTGCAGTTGAATGCTTTTTGAAAAAATCTGATGTGTACACCACATGACTTCCTTGTACGGAATATTAAATTATACGCATTTTTTCTTGCATTCATTTTAACTTATTGATTAATTAAACTCTACTTCGCCCGACAGCGCATAAACCACAATAATAAATGCATTCTTTAAAATTCACTTGTTTACCATACGACGCACTCTGGCGCTAGGTTTTACTTACAGTATTATATTCGGTTCATATTATAACTGAGAATACCACACTTTATATCATTTATCTAATCGTTGCCACATGTTCTATTCAAATACTATAACACAAACTAGAACGATGTATAAACGAAATTAAGCAAACAAAACAAAAAAGAAACAGTT